AGTAGGGGGCTTGGCAGGGGAGGGGGGGCCTTTGCGCGGGGGTCCAGGCCGGGCGCTGGATGCTTTTGGGACCAGCACTTGCTGTGTTTGCTTTCTCCCCCGGAAGCCGCGTGACCAGGCAGGGTCCCCGCACCACGCCCGGTGTGGGAGTGCGATGCGTGGATCGACCCACCTTTGCGGGGGAGAGGGGCGCTTAAAAATATGATTGTTCTTTGGGGGGCTTTGACTCTTCGTGCTGGTCTGCAATAGGATACGGGTAGGTGCTTTGAAAACTCACGCAGGACAAGAGCCATTTCCTGGTCATCTCGCTCCTGACCTGCAGCATCTCTCGGTACTCCAGCTCAATGGCTCTTCCCTTCTCTGTCCTCCTACCAGCCTCCCCCTGCATTGTTTTACATGCTTTGTCTACGCACTTACCAGAATCTCAGGAGATCCTCTCCAATATGCAGCAAATATCTGGTGTACCAGATTTTGAAATTCTAATTAGCTATACAGTAGAACAGGGCTACTCAACACATGGCCCGCAGCCCATTTGTTTGTGGCCCACAGTGCATTTTGGGTTTATGTGGGGCTCTACTTATGGCCCATGGGTGAGATTCTGTGAACACGGCCTCCACTGGGAACACGCTCCACAACAGCGAGGCATCTCCCAGGCAGGGTGAGCACTGAAAGACACAAGCAGATTGGCTGGCTGGAACAGACGGGTACAGGGTGTCAAGGTTTCTAGTCCCCAGGGAGGAAGTACTGGGCATTATGTTAACAAAGCTATTTGTATATATTTGCATATATATTTTCACTTAAGTTGCGGCCCTTCGCATGTGTTGTGAGTATCATTGTGGCCCTCGGGGCTTCCAAAGTTGAGTAGCCCTGCAGTAGAACATCAGAGTTATGAATTGACTACACCTCATTTGGAACCAGAAGTATTCAATTAGGCAGCAGCAGCAGAGACCAAACAAAACAAAACCAACAACCAAGAAACAAAAGCAAGTACAGTATTGTGTTAAATGTAAACTACTAAAAAAAAAAGGGAAAGCAACATTTATTCTACATAATAAAGCTTCAAAGCTGTTTAAGTCAATGTTCAGTTGTTATGGTTCTTTCAAAAATTCACATTTGTTCTGCGTTACAAATAGTCTCCAATTCCAAGGTGTTCATAATCTGAAGTTCTTCCTTATCTTGAATGCTGTAATAAAGACTTATTGGACACCGCACTCCTTGGGAAGTTTGTTCTTCTCTGGGATCCCTTGTCGTTCTATTGCTCTTTGTTTCTGCAGAAACAAGTCACCAGGCGCTCCAGAACATGCCCAGAGTACTGCGGGATGTGGAAGCCTTGAAACAGGAGGCCACTTTCCTAAAGGAACAAATGATTCTTGTCAAGGAGGATATTAAAAAATTTGAAGAGGACACAGCTCAGTCAATGAAGGTAACTATTTAGTGAGGGGACAAGTTGCTTCAGATTTCCAGTAGCTGCAAAAGTTACTGTTGAGTGAACTTGAAGACTCCGTTTTGGTTCACGCACTCTGTTTTGTGCAGCAGCCTGAACTTTAGTAGATGCCGACAGGGAAGGGAAACTGATTTCCTGCTCTGATATTTTCCTTTTTAAATTGCTATTGTCATCCTGTTGCACTGGAGCAAGTTCTGAGGCTATGAGTAGAGTCCTGCAAATCTGCAGATATCTGCTTTATATCCATAGGCATCAGTATCTGCAGCTGTCAGTATAGATATCCACATCTCGTTTTTGCAGATATTGATGTGGGTACAAACTTTGTATCTGCCCAAGGCTCTAGCTATGAGATCCTAGATGCACGGAACCGTTATGCTTTTTCCAAGCACTGAAGGCTCCTACAATCTGGTAGCTTCTCTGAACTTCAGTTGGATTGTCTTCGGGCTCAGCAGTTTGATACCCTATTAGCTGCTTTAGATTTGTAGTACAGGCAGTCCCCGACTTACGTGGATCCGACTTACGTCGGATCCCTAGATACGAACGGGCTGAGGCAACTCCCGCACATGCGCAGCAGCATTCCCGGGGCTCGCTCACCTGGGTCCTAGGATCCTCCTTCTCCTCGGGCCGGCTCCGACTGGGGTCCCGCAGAGCTGCCGGGCAGAGGAAAAGTGCCTCCCCTTTGTAGTACAGGCAGTCCCCGACTTACGTGGATCCGACTTACGTCGGATCCCTAGATACGAACGGGCTGAGGCAACTCCCGCACATGCGCAGCAGCATTCCCGGGGCTCGCTCACCTGGGTCCTAGGATCCTCCTTCTCCTCGGGCCGGCTCCGACTGGGGTCCCGCAGAGCTGCCGGGCAGAGGAAAAGTGCCTCCCCACGCCCGCTGCCCCCC